ATCAAAATGAAGTATAATAATAATACAAAGATCAAATACAAAGATATTTGATTGCCAATATGTGATTTTTGATAAAGCTCACGTGATAACTATAGAAAGACCTTGTAACCAATCGACACACTGTATGCAGTTGAAGAGGTTTTTATGTTATATGTTTTGTGTGTTTGTTTGAAAATAAAAATTTTATTTAAAAAAAAAGAAATGTTCATATCTTGCGATAGTGTAGGAAGTTAAAACCCACCCCTCTGCTAGAAAAATGAAATACCCTGGGAAATATTAAGAAGGCAGAATATTGTATTGGATCAGAAATGGAGAAACATGTTTTTAGGCAGGAAGCAGACTCACTCTTAATAGCCCTCACCTTTTAATGGGCCATTAAAAAAGCCTGGGCCAGTCTATTCTACATAACAAAGATCGATCCCCTTCAGCTCCAGGGTGATGATGGGATTAAGCCATGATAGTATTAGCCCTTTACCCATCTCACTACAGGGCACCTGGGAAGAAGCAATGCTCAACCAAACCTGGACTCAAAACACAGCAGCGAGAGTTGCCCCTGCATGGCCCCATGGGAGCCTGACAACCAATCAGAATACATTTCTTACACAGGAACAGGAAACAGAGAGATGGGGTCGAACAGAGAGTATAAAGCCAGGAACTTTCAGCATCTGTTTCTTTTCTTCTTCATCCAACATCTTTTCCTGAAACCCGGAACTGAACCCAGAAGGGCATTTCTTCCAACAATAGCAAGCACCATCCTTGCAATACTTCTAGTTTTGGTTTTAACCAAGAACCAAGTTCTTGACTAGGTCATTTACATCTGTTTTATGAGATGAGGCTCAACAAACATATACAGTTCAAAATCTGGAACTCTGTCGCGGTTCATGCCTGGCTGATGCATTGCAGCATCTTCCTCTGTTTCATCTAAGCTCCATTTCTCTGCTGGTTTCAGCACTGGCAAATTGTTGAAAAGCGGCATTGGTATCATGGCTGGAGGAAGGTTGGGGTATTTAATTGATTTCTTATTTTTAGCAGAGAAATCAGAGACATTAGCTAAGACAGAAGTAATAATATGCCATGTGAACGTTCTAGTTTTCGCCACATCATTGGGACAGCAACCAGCATCTGGTTCCCCTGAGCCAAGCTCTGATATTAACAGCACACCTTGCACAAGAAATGTGAGCAGCCCAGGCCTTGCCTTGATCCTCAACCTTACAATCAAAACAGAGTGCATACTCTTTCTTAACAATACCAGTCATGGTGCATCTTTGAGGCTTAAGCATGTACATGCCACAAATGTAGCTCAACGTATCACATCTGTTCCGACATTGGCGAGACATTTCTGCTGTCCCCAATCGTCCTATAACAAGTCTAGAAACAATTTACTTATGTAAATTACATGTACACAGACAAGGCTTTTCCGCGCATCAAAACCCATGGAAATTGATGTCAACAAAATGATACCATCTGTGCATGCAAACTGCTTTATAGCCTTCCCAGGCAGCATCCATCCAGCCGAAGCATGCCTCGGCATGCCCAAAACTGTACCAGTCCCACAAATGTTATGCACATATGCCCCAGTACATGCCTGAACATGCATGAGCTACACAAAGCATCTTACAACACAAGCGAAAATCAATAAACTTAAAATATAAGAAGAATGTAAGAAGAAATTACAAAACCAAAAGATTTCTATAAAAAGGTGAGTGATAGGTTAAACTTCAGGTTAGTTTCAGGATTAACAGCCAAAAATCTGTAAGACACACCCAGAAGTGTTCAGGAAGCATAATTTTTGTTAGCAAGGGCATGAACTCTTTCCAGTACTGTCTCGTGGGTGTAGGTATGCACAGCTTGGGTCTGTATTATATATATGTATACTTAGTCGTGCACGTATGTGTGCAAGGTATGCACACCTACACTCACCAATTTTTAAATCATCAAACAGCGCACCTGGCAGGCAACTTCGTAGGTAGTGCAACCCACAACAAGTCTCCTATTATTTCAAGATAAGACTCCAAAGGTCCTCAGAGTCCATGACAGATTTGCAAGATCCCCAACGCTTTTACATTTCCACTACCTGAGAGGTGGAAAAGGCTTGGAAAGGCAGGAAAAATAAGACAACTTTTTTTTTTTAAGAAAAAGGCAAGATCCCTCCTTCTGAAGGGAATAGTAATAATGATTTACCAGAATATAATATACTGGAATAAGTAGAAACTAGTTGGTTTTAGTAGAAACACACATATATTAGGCCTTTGTAACGTGTATACCTGCATGCTGTAAATAACTTTTGTTTCCTGCAACTTACACTCCGATAGAAAAGCCACAGAAACCAACCAAAGTCAAAACATCGGATTGGAAATCTGATTATTATTTTTTGGGGCCCCAGGCGAGAATGGGAGTGGGAGAGGTTGTTGCTTTTTGCAACCACAATAAACACACCAGCAGGGAGGGGCGCGCCCGGGCAGCCTTCCCTGCCCATTGCCAGGATCGGAGACCGCAATTGTTTGCTGTGTTGTTTATTTCTAGGCTGGCGTTTTCTACCCCGCTTTGCAATTTGGGGTTTTTCCTCTGCAACCCCCCCCCCGCCCGCCTCTTCCTCTCCTTCTCCCCCGCCCCAAGTCACCGCCTCCCCTCCCCGACTTTCCTCTCCCCGCGCCAGCCACTCACCTGACTTCGCTCGCCCGCCCGCAAAGCTTAATTCAAAACCCCACTTTTGCTAGTGAGAGAGACAGACAGACAGACAGGAAGTGCCGTATTTATTTATGGGATCCAGTTCTCTCCCCTTATTCTCCCACCCCACCCCGCAATCTCCTGCCCCTCTAGCCGCGCCAGCTTCATGGTTTCCACCCTTTAGAGGGCGAACCAGCGGCGAGCTCTGCATTGGCCGGAGGAATCAATGAACGGAGGAGGGTCTCCCGTTTCAAGGAGAAGACACCGGGAAGGCTGTATGGAAGGCGGGAAAGCATGACAGGGCTGCGGGGAAGGAAGTAGGTTCTAGCTCCCTTCCCGCAGCTGACATGCTTTCCTGCCTTTGCACACTGGCCATGGGGACACCGGGAAGGTCGCATGGATGGCAGGCAAGCATGGCAGGGCTGTGGGCCACAGAGAATACAATACAATACAATACAATACAATACAATACAATACAATACAATACAATACAATACAATACAATACA